CCAACGGAAAGCTGTTGTTGCAGTTACTTGTAGCAGGTTGGTTTTTATGGGGTGGAGTTGCTAGCCCCTCACCCAACCCTCCTCCTTTCTCATCCTGGACTTGGGACCAGGCAAAGGCAGAGGTCCCATGTTTGGTGTGACGGGGATTCGAACCCGCGACCCTCAGATTACGAGTCGAGCGCCCTAACCACCTGGCCATGCCGGGCCACATTTCAGAACTTACTATACTAAAATTCAGGGTTTGATTCCCTTGAGGTGGTCAGAGCCCAGCTAGCCAATTATGTGTTAAACAACCAAACATTATTTTTTATTATTTCTTCTCTGTCTGTACAGGAAGTTTTTGAACTTTATTCACTAAGAAGAGAAACTACATTAAATAACTGGTCAATCTGACCTCATCTAACAGCAATGGTCATATCTAGTTTTATAGTTAGTTATGGTTTATATATATCACAGTATTAATGGCCAGCTGTGGTTTTATAATTAGTCTAGATTTATAGATTATATATATTACAGTATTAAGAATCTTTTTAGTTTATGCAACACAATTCAAACATGCTCACCCTTTCAGCTGTGGGGGCGTAATGTGATGGTCAGTCCCACTATTCTTTAGTAAAAAGAGTAGCCCAAGAGTTGGCGATGGGAGGTGATGACTAGCTGCCTTCCGTCTAGTCCTTCTCTGGTAAATTAGGGATGGCCAACACAGAAAGCCCTCGTGTAGCTTTGCGCGAAATTCAAAAACAAACTGACAAGCAACACAATTACCAAAATACTTAGTTGTGTATTTTCATTAAGCATAGATAGCCAACAAGATCCATAATATTCTACTAAGGCCAGTTAAAAATACATTCCTTGGTTGCGGGATATAAAACTTTTTCTTTGTGTATCTGAGATTTGAATCATTTTTATTAAACTTTTTTGTCATAATAACCATTATTATCATTATCAGAAAAGTTTGTATTATTAATTCACTGCAATATTTTGAGAGGTGATGCTAGTCTGTATTAGCTCTTAGAGCTTTAAAATTGTTGGAATTGTTTAGATATTTTGATTTTATTGCAAGAAATTATCTCATGTTGAAATTTCGTTTTGTTTGAGGTAATGATTTGATCTAAAGTAATTAAAATAAGTTATAGGTATTTGTGTTTAGTAAACACATCAATTACGTTTGAGAAGATTAATTGATTTATGAATTTTCATATTAATTGGTTTCACAAACATCAATTCCAATGTCTTATATTTGTCTTAATTCTTTTTTCCAAATTATATGTACTTAGTTGTGTATATAAGAATTATTGAATTTTCTATTTCAATCCTTTCTACTATTTGTTTCCTCTAGCCTAATTTATGCTTTTAATTTTAAAAATGTTCATTTTGCAAATCTTCATAATTGGTAGCATCATTTCAAATGGTTAAATAGGAGATATATTGTTTTCACTTAATGTCGGTAATTACTTTATTATGTTTCAATTGTATATAAAGCAGTTGTGTACTTGTGTATCATCACTATTTCTACAGGAAGATGGATTTGTAAGAAGTGGAATAAATCCTATATGGTCTCCACTGGACATCAAAATGTAGCAAATAATTCCTACTTTCAATGAATGAATACATTTTTGAAAAAAAAGTGTATAAAATGACATGGTATACATGAAAATGTCCTATTATGTCATAGGTACATTAATTAGCAAGATAGCGTATATATACCTCATATATTAAGTTGTTTTTGTTTTTTTAATTGTCTGAAGGGTTGAGTTATGTATAATGAAACCATATGGTATAGTATGCATATTTATTATCAACCTATTTTAGGTGAACTGTTGTTTTCTTCTCAAATATTTGCATAATCTGTTAGAGGGCAAAACTTAAGAGAACGAGTAGACTCTGCCTTCTGCTAATACATCTGGTGATGGATACACCTTATTTAACATTTGTTCTGTTTCTGTTAAATAATTGTGACAATGCAACAGTGAACCCTACTTTTAATAAAATATCCTTAGCAGACACCTGTTGGAAAACAGATTTATAAAAGTGAATTCTTTACCAGATATTTGGTGAAGGACTAAATTGTATATTAACAATAGTTAGCTTTTGTTTATGTGTGTGTGTAACCATACCAGAGCCTGACAGCTTGTGAATGACAAAACTATACAGTAATCACATAATGATAAAACCATTGATTTTACTACTTGTATCACACCATCTAACCGATACTGGATTAAAACTAAATTATATTTTGTAATTAGGGTTAGCTAACAATGTCTGAAATATTTTTATTAGCAAGGATTTTTAACTTCTTGTTTTTTGTATCTTTAAGTTTTCCTTTGAGTACAAATTAAAATGGG